ACATTATACATGCTAATCGTAATATCCCCTTTCTTCTTCCCCGCCCTTATCCCTCCCTACCCTCCCATTCTCCCAGTCTCTTTCCCTTTGGTATCTGTTAGTTCATTCTTGGGTTCTGTGATTCTGCTGCTGTTTTGTTCCTTCAGTTTGAAAACAGTATTTTTTTAAACTATTTTCTTAAAAAATTTTTATTGTAAAAATAACACATATTTATAGTGGAAACTCAGTGCTTCTAGCCTTTTTTCACATGATAGCACTCAATAGCAAATATTTGGAGGCACACTAAAATAAATGGAAAATGCCTCAGACTAGGGAAAGACAAATGCCTTAGAGCTGCTGACCCCTATTCCTTCCTGCTCTGCAGGCCCTGACTGGAATCCTCAAAGGCCTGAGAGACTCAATACTCAACATACCTGTCACTCATATCTTTAGTATCTACACACTGCTTGGGAAACTTTGCCTCATAGTAGTGCTTATCCATCTTTTTCCCATTATCATCCCTTAAGGAAACTTTGTAGACATTTTCTCCTTATCATCTCCACCCATGAAATTGTAGTACTACATACATAAATGCTGTGTATCTGTTTATGTACTATGACTCTTTGTAGGGCTGCAGACCATTGTGATATCTAAGATGTTTTTCATACTCCCCTTACTCTCACCAGTAGCCAGTTGTCATTCCAATGGGAGCAATACTGTTCTTGTTGAGAGTGCACACTTTAGAGGATATGGAACTGTTAACAATTGGGTGTGTTTCTTCTGTCTATACACACATGCACATACTTAAGCTGGTGTCAGCAGTCTCTGAGTCCAGGATATTGAGCTAGTCATTTGGCTATGGATATGTACAATACAGGAGCCTGTAACTTATAGTTAAGTCTTGTAGACATGACTCTTCCTGTTTTGATATGTTTTTTTCTTGTTTGCCAAAATGTGTATAGGGGTGGAGAGTGGTGTTCAGATAAGTGTAGAAAGTTTTCTTTTTATGTTTTCTTTGGAGAAGAAATGGTGAGATCTACTACAGTCTTTTTTAACCTCGTCTGAGATACTGAACAGTAATCTTCTGTCTGTTCTTTCATTAAAAATAGAAAACAAGTAAGCATTATTTTTAAAACACAGAGGGACATTTGACAAATTTTAGGGATAATTAAAAAAATTTTTTGATTATAGTACTTTTGTCTTTTTTACCTTCATACTAGCTTTGAAGTCATTGATCTACTACCTCTGGTACATGTTTGCTTTTACCAGTGAAATTTTTGCTTTCCTTCTTTTCTTGCTTCCAGTTAGTGTCTTTCTCTTAAAAAAAGATCCTTTAACGTTTCTTGTAAGGCCAGTTTAGTAGTAATGAGCTCTTATGTTAAGCTCTTTATCTCCCCTTCCATTCTGAATGATAACCATGCTGGTAGAGTATTCTTGGTTGGAGATTTTTTTTTTTTGTTTCAGCACTTTGAGTATATCATGCTACTCCCTTTTAGCCTTCTAGAATTTCTGCTGAAAAATCAGCTGATTGCCTTATGGGGATTCCCTTGTAGGTAGCCTGTTGCCTTTCTCTTGCTGCTTTTAAGATTCTCCATTTGTCTTTGATCGTTGACATTTTAATTGTGATATGTCTTGGTGTAGACTTCATTGGGTTTATCTTGTTGGGCCTTTCTATGCTTCTTGGACCTGGATATCTGTTTCCTTCCTTAGGTTAGGGAAGTTGTGAGGTATTATTTCTTCAGATAACTTTCTACATCTTTCTCTCTTCTCCTGGGATTCCATAATGTCAATGTTTGGACATTTGGTATTATCCCAGAGCTCCTGTAACATATCCTTATTTCTTTCATTTTTTTCTTCCTGCTGTTCAACTTGGGTGCTTTCCATTACTCTGTCCTCCAAATCACTGATTCATTCTTCTACATTCTCTAATATGCTCTTGATTCCCTCTAGTGTATTTATTATATACTTCATCTATGGTTGTTTCTGTTTTGTATTTTCTTTCTCTTCATAGAGCTTCCTACTGAGTTCCTCTACTCTTCTCTCAAATCTGTTTGAATTCTTTATCTGATAGATCGTTTAACTCTGTTTCATTTAGTTCTTTTTCTGAAGTTTTGCCATGTTCTTTTGTTTCAAGGATATTCCTCTGCCTCTTCATTTTGTTTGACTTTTTGTGCTTGAATCTGTTAATTAATAGAAAGAACTACTTCTCTCGGGCTTGAAGGATTGACCTTGTATAGGGAAGGCCCCCTGGGTAGACTGCATGTGCCTGGTGGTTTGGGCTGGCTGGCTGGAGGCCTAGTGAGCATGAGATGGAGGTGTCCTGGTATCAGGGTTCTCAGGGTCAGGTTGGAGGGCTCCAGCTGTAGAGACTTCCAAGTAGATACCAATGGGGTCCATGCTGGCAGGGGGACAGTGGGTCCAGGTGCAATATCCAGGAAAGCCCTGCCTCCCCAGCTACTGGCTGCGAGCCTGTGGTGCACTAGTGGCCAGGGTGTGCTCTCTGTGGGTTGGTGGCAACAGGTTCCATGACATTGGGGCAGCTGCAGGCAAATGCACTCTCATACTAACTGGGTGTTTGTGGGGAGGGCTGAGAAGCCACCTAGACCAAGCCTGAAATTGGTGTGTGTGCCCAAACCCTTCTCCCCACATCACTATCAGTGTGGGGAAGGAGTGCAAACAATGGTGCATCCCAGACTCCCCTTCCAAACAATGAGTACTTTAGTTCCAAAAATCTTTTTTTTTTTTTTTCACTTACAGTCTAAATGCACTTTAAAGCATGGCTGTTTTTTCTCTGTCAGGGCAGAGAATCTGTGTTCTGGTCCCTGAGCAATATCCCTCCCCACTGTAGGTCATTGCGCTGGGGCTGGGGTTTCCTCCATTACCATGTCTCTGTCTCTCCTGCTGCTTTTTATGCAGTCTTTTTATCTCTTGCGCAGAAGGTGCTGACTGGGGCCTTGGTTTTTTCTAAGATGAATTGCTCTGTGTATAGCTATAGATTTGGTATGAAGGTGGGAAGAGATGGGTTTAAGCTCTATCTATGTCACCATCTTCCCAGAAGTCCCATTGACATTGTTTCTTCCAGTCTCCAGAACTCTTTTTATCTTAAACAACTGAAATTCTGTGCCCATTAAACAACTCGCAAGTCTCCCTTTCCCCCTGGCAAACACCATTTTTACTTTCTGTCTCTTTGAATTTGACTACTCTGGGTACCTCATATAAGTGGAATCATACAGTATTTGTCTCTTTGTGACTTGCTTGTTTCACTTAGCATAATGTCACCAAGGTTCATCCTTGTTTAAAACATTTTAGCATGTGTCAGAATTTCCTTCCTCTTTGAGGCTGAATAATACTGCATTGTATGTATATACCACATTTTGTTTATCCATTCATCGGTCACTGGACCTTTGGGTTGCTTTGACCTTTTGGCTGTTGTGAATAATGCTGCCACGGACATGGGTGTACAAATAGCTCTTTGAGACCCTGATTTGAATTCTTTTGGCTATATTCCCAGAAGTAGAATTGTTGGATCATACGGGGAGGCTATTTTTAATTTTTGAGGGACCACCAAATGGTTTTCCACCACAGCTATACCAGTTTACATTTCCACCAACAGTGCACAAGGGTTCCAGTTTCTCTGCATTCTTACCAACGCTTGTTTTCTGTTTTTCAGTAATAGCCCATTCTAATGGGTATGAAGTGGTAGTATTATTTCTTTTTAAATTTAATACATTGTTAAATTCTTAGAGATTATTCTCTGGACAAAAAGAACTTTATAAACTGTTAATATTGTATTCTAATCTAAATAATACATAGTTTCCTTTATTAGACTTGTGAATTCTTTCTTTTTATTTTTATAATTAATACAGTAGTGATTACCCTTGGAGTAAATCTTTGCTTAGATTCCTTATTTCTCCATAAGAGACTGCTAAGAAAGTGTATGAACTTTATAAGATATACATATTGTCAAATTGCTATTAAGATCCCTCATCAGCATTAAACATTTTATCTTATATTTATTAGCCACTTTCGTTTCTTCTGTGAACTGCATATTTATAATTTTTTGGTGTTGTGTACTTTGAGTAATTTTAAAAGTATTAAATGTCTCACATACATATTACAGTAAAGCCCTCTTGGCCAGTGTGATTAGAACCATTATTAGTTGGTCAGTCAAAATATCAACTAGTAAATCATAAAGATAGTTTATATACCCTAATGTTTTGTCATACATGTAAGCATATGTGTGCATGTATGTATGGGTGTACACACATACACATATGTGCATGAGCATACATATACACCAGAGTCTTTGAATATAGGTTTGTCATGGATCAGCTCGTTGAAGAACAACATCACCTTTGGTTTTGGTGTGAGGTGTTTTTTAGATAGCATATCCATGATGTGTCATACAATATTTCAGATTTTTATTTCTTTCCGTTAGATTTTTCTCACAGTTTTTCTTAAATCTTTATGGTTTCTTATCCATATATAATTGGAAACTAATTGTTTTAGTTAATAACTTTTATAAAATCTCCCTAAAGCATTTAATCTAGTTTACCTAGAAACTACTTGATATTTTTAAATTCATATTTTCTGTTTGCCAATAATTTAAGTTATATGATTACAGCAACAAGTTCTTCATAAACAGACTCATGCATGTATAGAAACCAGATAAATGATAGAGGCAGCATTTTATATCAGCTAAGGATGAACTGGTCAATAAATGATATTGGGATAAGTGGGTATCCTTTTGAAAAAAAGAAATTGGATCCCTACCTCCCATTATAAATAATGTAATTACCTTAATTAAAGATTTACATAGGAAAAGCAAATTGCACATGCTTTTTTTAAAATGTTTTATTTATTTTTTATTTTTTATTTTATTTTTTTATTGAAGGGTAGTTGACACACAGTATTACATTAGTTTCAGGTGTACAACACAGTGATTTAACATTTATATACATGATAATTCTAGGTACCAGCTATCACCTACCAAGTTGTTACAATATATTGACTATATTCCTTATGCTATACATTACATCCTGGTTACTTATTTATTTTACAATTGGAAGTGTGTACTTTTTTTTTTTTTGTGAGGGCATCTCTCATATTTATTGATCAAATGGTTGTTAACCACAATAAAATTCTGTATAGGGGAGTCAGTGCTCAATGCACAATCATTTTTAATCCACCCCAAGCCTAATTCTCGTCAGTCTCCAATCTTCTGAAGCATAACGAACAAGTTCTTACATGGAGAACAAATTCTTACATAGTGAATAAGTTACATGGTGAACATTACAAGGGCAGTCATCACAGAGGCTAAATTGCACATGCTTTTATAAGAAAATACAAGAGTATGGTTTTGATCTTTGTGGAAGAATTTCTTTAAAAATATGTAATCATGTAATCAAAAAAAAAGTTTGACAGATTCACCCTGAATTAAAATTCAGCACTTCTCAAAAGACAATAAGACAATCATAGCCTAGGAGAAAATATTTGCAAAAGATCTATCTGTTAAAGAACTGTTATCCAAAATACAAATCCAAAGAGCTCTTAACACTCAACAATGAGAAAATTAACAACCTGATTAAAAAATGGCAGAGGACCCAGATATCTCATCAGAGAAGATGCACAGATGGCAGATAAGCATATGAAAAGATGCTCAACATTGTATGTTATCAGGGAATTGCAAATTAGAACAACAGTGAGCTACAACTTACAAATCTATTAGAATACCCAAAACTAAAAACCCTGACAATTCCAAATGCTAACAGCAATGTAGAGCAACAGGAACTCTAATTTGTTGGTGGGAATGCAAAATAGTACCACTCTTTAGAAAAGTTTGGCAGTTTCTTATAAACTGAGCATATTCTTGCCATATGACCAAGCAGTTGTGTTCCTTTGTACTTACTCAAATGAATTGAGAACTTAGATCCACCTAAGAACTGCACAGAGGTGTTTTTACAGCAGCTTTGTTCATAATTGCCAAGGCTCAGAAGCAACTAAGAAATCAACCAAAGATAAAGTAATGGTCATATCTGTACAATGAAGTAATTAATACTCAGTGCTAAAAAAAAAGCTGTCAAGCTGTGAAATGATATGGAGGAGCCTCAAGTGTTTTATTGAGTGAAAGAAGCCAATCTAAAAAGGGCTGCCTACTATATAATGATCTAGAATAGAAAAGGCAAAACTGTGGGGACTTACAATGGTCAGTGGTTGCCAAAGGTTGGGGAAAGGGAGGAATGAGTAGGTGGAGTACACAGGGTTTTTAGGGCAGTGAAACTATTAAGTATGACACTGTAATGCTGGGTGTTTGTCATCATACTTTTGTCAAAACCTATAGAATGTACCACACCAAGAGTGAACCCTAACATAAGCTGTAGAGTCCTTGTGATAATGCTGTGTCACTGTAAGTTCATCACTTGTAACAAATGTACCACTGGTGTGGGATGTTGATAGTGAGGGAGACTATGCATATTTTGGGACAGGAGGTATATGGGAAATCTCTGTTCCTTCCACTCCAGTTGGCTATGAACCTAAAACTGCTCTAAAAGCCTATTTGAAAAAAGATTCAGTTCTTCTATCAAATGAGACCATAAAGAAGTGAAAAGACAAGTTATAGGACAGAGAAAATATTTCTTCTGGAAATAAGAAATATGAAGAGATGTTCAACTTCACTAGTGATTAACAAAAGCAAGTTAAAACACCTCCCTCCATGAGATTGATTTTATACCCACTAGATTGGCAACAATTAAGGAGCTTGAATAATACCAAGGGGTAGTGCATATACATATCAGTGGGCACTCTTAAGTTCTATGGAGAGTGAACACCAACTTTGGAAAAGTTTGGCACTGTATTGTAATAAATAATAAACCCATATGTGTTAACATAAATTACATATATTTAGATGAAAAACAATTATTTCCAAATAAAAAAGTAGTGAAGAGGTCATTGATTTACATTTTTGCAGATCACTTTCATCTTTGCAAGTATGGCTTAATAGGAGATGGCTGGATTTTCATACCTGTTTTACACATCGCATTAGCCAGTGGGGTGGTGATGTCATCACATGACATGTAGTTTCTGGAATACCTCACTATATATACACTCTTAGTGGAGAGTCACAAAGTCAAATATCTTAGTGTTACATTTAAAAAGTTTGGGCCTCAGGGACCTCATAGATTCCCCAGACCCTACTTTGAGAATTGCTGTGCCAGAGGGTAGGCTGTTGGCCATGAGCGTCCACTGTGTGTATAGGTAGCAGTTCTTATTTAAAGGGAAAATTGAAGAATGAAACTAAGTAAAGGTCTTAATTGAGAGTAAAAGAGCTTTTACCACGTAACAACTATTTAAATCTCAGCTGCAAGTAATAGTTGTGATTATGTATGTTTGCTTCAAGCAGGAAACAATAGTTCCTTCTGTCCTCCGTCCTCAGGGGCATCTATCATGAATGTGTATCTGTCTAGTCTAGAGGGGTTTTTTAGTGGAATTTTGTGTATCTGTGAATAATACATGTTTTCTGTATTTAAAAATGTATATACACAGTATCATTTTTTTTAATTTCATGTATAAGTGGGTATTGTTAAACCTTTAAGAAAGTGAGGGATACAAATCTTAAGTTTTTAGTTAAAATTCTTTTTTTTTCCTGTTAATTTTTCCCATTTTTCCTAAATACATGTTGCATTCTTTCTTTCAGAATCCTTGAAAAATGGCTCTGCTACAGATGGTGGGAATAAAGTTTATTCTTTTCAGAATAGAAAACAGTCTGAAAAGATGCCAAAATTAGGTATGTTGTTTTTCTGATTTCTATAATCACTATTCACCTTTTCTAAGAAGGTGTATTTAATCACATTCCCCACAGTTATCATCCATTGCATTCCCTAAAAGAATGAGGGGTATTATTTTAATCAAACACACACATTATCAAGCATACTTAAAGTTAATAGTTTCTTATAATACTCAGATGTCAGCTAGGTTATAAGCTAGTTGCTGTCTTAGTTTACTTCCCACAACTTCTACCATGGGCTCTTAACAAATTTGTATTCAGTAAATGAGTGACTTAAGTTACATACAAATATTCTGAATTTATTGAATAAGAGTTTTACACTGTATAAAGAAAAATGTATTAGAGAAAAAACTAATTATATAAAATGATTACAAATGGACTATTCTAACATTTTTCTTATCAAAATTGCCTCTTATACTAATTACACATGAATTACTAATTTCCAGAGAACTAGACTGCAATAAATTACATACAACATTAAAATTAAACTGTCAATATGATTCTTTTTTAAAAATTTGGATGGCAGTATATTCAGATCTTGTAGTATAAGGGGGCCATCACTTTTGAAAGTTTTCAGGGAAGGAAAAAAGAAAGCGGTTGGACAACTGAGGAGGTCCAAAATCACATGAAGGTTTGGGAATACCAAAAAGTCAAGAGCAAGGAAATAATGAATGACCTGGTAAAATGTAATAGTTCTATAAGAGGGCTTATAATCTAATTATAAAACACTTAATGTATATTTCTTAAGTGGTATATTTTTATGTATTCTAGCCAGTGGTCATGTTCACTGGTCCAGTGAAAATGTTCAAGGTCCAGTGAAAAGTATACTCATTAAGAGTTGACACTGAAAGAGGACATGCAAGAAATAATTATAAGACCCGTGCTTCTGAACACAATATGATTTAATCATTTGAAAAATCCAGTTTTTCTTAAATGTTATTTTAAATATATCATTAATTTTGAACCTAACATGGTACATACAATAATTTACTTTAATTGATGTGTTCCTTAATGTTTATAATCCACATCAAGAAATTAAAAGGTTTTCAATTAGTAAAAATGACTGAATTCTCTGAGAACCAGAGAAGAAATGCTTGTATAATTAATCAGGAAAGATCACATAGACACCAAGACCAAAATGAAACCATCGGACAATGAAGCAGGACAAAGAACCTTGGAGAAAGAGGAGAATTAATAGTGAAAAGAAGAGTGCAACCCCAGAGAAATAATCAAATAGAAGTTCTCAAAGTGGGTATTCAGCGTACACATAATTACAGTGATATCTGTCTAATATGGCTATGCACTACAAGAAACGTAAGTATTGTTATGTTGTGCATTTATGTCATATTGATAGACATACATATACAGTCATGAAAAGATAGTTTTCTGGATAATTTGAGATTTATCATACTTTGCAAAATCTGTGTTTAGTTAGGACCAGCATTTAGTTATGATGCTCTTTAAAGAGTTTGACTCATTAAGTATTGTTGCTGATTGTGTTTACATCTATTTTTAAATGTGTTTACAAATATCTTTAAATGACTTATGATCTGCTAGAAAATCATATACTCTGAGTATAAATGATGATTAAATAAAATTAACCAAGATATAGGGCTAGAAATGAGTTAGATTTGAAGGCTTTATAAAATGCTGAGAATATGTCCTGAATGAGTAAATAAATGCCAACAAAAGAGCAAACACGAAAATACCAATTAGAACAGTGAAAAGTTTAGCTACCCTGGAGAAAGAAATCACTTTAAGGAAATTGAAAACAAATTGGTTAGATAGTATCACATAACAGCCTGATGAGAAGCCATCATTAGGCAAGGAGGAGTTTTATTTTAAAATTTCCAGTATGTTGCAGACCAGCTTTTGTGTAAAATACAATACAAATGAATTAGAAAAATTAAAATAGAGACATGTAAAATATATGCCCCAATTTTTTATTGTTAGAATCATTAGCCATGTAT